TGCCCAACCTTCCTTCCGAGGAGTGGCTGGTGGGTTTGAACCACCAGCCGTCTGGTTAGCAGGCAAGTGTCTTAGCCACTATGCTACCAGAGCTCCCTCCCCCTATCCCTGGTAACCATTGAAGAATGTTTCTTTCTGACATGCATACTCTTGCATCATTCCCTGACTCATTAGACATTCAACAGAGTGCTCTCTGACCTACTCTCACGATGTGGTCTAGCAGAATTGACATCACTAGGAACTTGTTAAAGTAGCTCTGGTGGCACAATGGTTAAATACTCAGCTGCTAAACAAGAAGTTGGCAGTTTGAACCCATCAAGGTGTTCCACAGGAAAAAGATGTGACAGTCTTTTTCTGTGAAGATAGTTGTTGTTAGGTACCATTGAGTTGCTTCTTACTCATAGTGACCCTGTGTATGACAGAACAAAACACTGTCCATTCCTGACCCATCCTCACAATCATTGCCATATTTGAACTCATTGATGCAGCCACTGTGTCAATCCATCTAGGCAAGGACCTTCCTCTTTTTCTCTGACCCTCTCTACTTTACTAAGCATGATGTTCTTCTCCAGAGACTGTTCCCTCCTGATCCTATGTCTAAAGTACATGAGACAAAGTCTTACCATCCTTGCTTCTAAGGAACATTCTGGCTGCCCTTCTTCCAAGGCAGATTTGTTTGTTCTGGCAGTCCACAGTATATTCAATATTCTTTGCCACACCATAATTAAAATACATCAATTCTTCTTCAGTCTTCTTTATTCATTGTCCTGCTTACACATGCATATGAGGCAATTGAAAATACCATGGCTTGGGTCAGGTGCACCTTAGTCCTCAAAGTGACTTCTTTATTCATTGTCCTGCTTACACATGCATATGAGGCAATTGAAAATACCATGGCTTGGGTCAGGTGCACCTTAGTCTTCAAAGTGACTTTTTTAAAAAAAAAAAAAAAAAAACACTTTCAAGAGGTCTTTTGCAGCACATTTGCCCAGTGTAATAAATCACTTGATTTCTTGGACTGCTGCTTCCAGGGGTGTTGATTGTGTGTCCAAGTGAAATGAAATGCCTGACAACCTCCATCTTTCCTCCGTGTGTCAAGGTGAATAGTTTTGTAGTTCACATGGGCTCAGGCATGGTGACGACTGTGAGGATGGTGCAGGCCTGGGCAGGGTCTCCTTCGGGGGAACCCAGGGTCACTGTGAGTTGGAGCTGACTTGAGAGCACCCAGCAAGCACAGTTGATCTGAATCGTGAAAGGCAGCTGTTGTCACTGTAAGGGGTGCAGTGAGTGGAGGTGCCCCTGTCCTCAGCTGCGTTGGGTCCACTCCAGTATCTGCTGAACTCACCACCGTCACCACCACTGTCACCATGGCAGCATCTCCTGTTTGCTGTGCACGAGTCTACGCCCCCCGCCCCATTAACCCTGATAATTCTCACCACCAGCTTAGGGGGTGGGGACTGTCACCATCATATCCATTTTTCAGATGAGAAAGAAGAGGGACACACCGCTCATCGGTGGCTGAGCTGGCACCATCCTCCTGCTTGTAATGACTCTAGTACCACTCCTTCCCATCCCCAGGTGGGGGATTGTCTTTGGCAACACCTACTGGCAGGTTTACTGACCCCCAGATGAACATGGTGGTGGTTTTGATTGCCACCGCTAAACCACCTCTGAAAGGCCCACCTGCTTTGCACCATGGCCAGGAGGCCAATCCCTGTGTGAAGACTTTTTTTCACTGCGTGTGGGAGAGGCAGGCACAGAACAAAGACTTTGGGAAAACGTTCACGTTGGGGAGTGACTGGCACCTAAAAATACACAACTGGGACAAGACAGGAAGGCAGATGAGGAGGCCGCAGGGAGGTCCCTGAGACTTGCACTTGGAGGGGAGGACAGGGGCACACGGACGGACTCCAGGCAAGCTTTTCCCACATGGCTTCTTGGCCTCTCGAAACTTGGCTTTCTGGTCTGCATCCACCAGAGGCAGCAGACTCCACCCACAGCTTGCAAGCTACCTCATGAGCTGGGACTCCCCAAGGACACTTAGCCAGAAGGCCACTACCGAGAGCCCTGAACGTGACGGGGGCATAGACTGGGTTTCCAACGGCACCTATGGGCTGACCAAGGGGCTGACCCATTTTGTGGAGACCTAGGGTATGTGGGATCAGGGGTTACTTGCCTGGATCATCGGAACCCTGGCATCACTGACAGGGAAGGGGACAGTGATGGCTCTGACCTCCCCTCACCCATTAGTGACTGCAAGCGTGAAACCACGATGATTAATGTGCGTTCCTGAATTGGGGAGCAGGGTGTAGGGTCAGAAAGGGACATGGAGAGCCACTGATGGTTCGTCCCATCCTGTCTCGTGAATCAGGGACACACCTGCTGTTCCAATCAGATGGCAGGATTGCTCGGTGTTTCTGGTACATTCATCCGCACCTTAACTGCTGTGTGCACTACAGCCTGAGACGGACCTCAGGGAGAGCTCCCCCAGCAGTGGAAAGTCGGGCCAGAGGAGTGTGAACACGGCCCACAAAACATGCGCAGCTGTGCAAGCTGAGCCTGGTCCCTTCACTGGGACGCAGTGCTGGCCCCTCTGCTTTGAGCCCTGGGTGGGTGATCTGGGCTTAGGCTCTGAGGGCGCGGTGCCTGGAGGCCATGTGTTACCGGCTGATGACTCCAGCCACATCTGCCACCGCTTTTCTTCCAGCAGCGTCTGTGACTCTAACCGGGTCATCAGCTGGGGACAGGTCATCAGTTCTACGTTGTGCAGGACATATGCCTCATGGTTCAAACAGCCGGCTGGCCGTCCGCCTTGTGGTGCAGAAAAGGAGTGCAGGCATAGTGGGGCATTGCAGTCTGTCCCAGTGGCCTCCCGTGATGGCGGCGTCACTGGGAATGGCCCCTCGGAGTGCTGTGCACCAAGCCCAGCATGGAGGTGACACTGCGGTCTGTCCTGGTGCCCTCCTGTGACGGCAGCATCTCCAGGAATGGCCACTAGGGGTGCTGTGCACCTAGCCCTGCAGGGACGTGGCCTCCTGAAGAGGCAGAGCTTGGGGACAGGAAGAGCCAGGCAAGCAAATGTCCAGCCAGGCTGCCTCAGGGCTTTACCTGGGTGCTGGGTGGGCCAAGCACAGATGAGCTTCAGGTACTCAATCCGTGTAGAGCAGACACTCCAGTCAGGCAGCATGTCCACTCATGGAAGTGGCATCAGGGTGGAGATCAAGAGAGTATCCTAGAGTGAAATGCAGCTGGCTGACAAGGACTGTCCCCTTCCCGGCCACCATGAATGGTGGTGTCATTTTAGCTCATCTGACTGACAAGGACTGTCTTGTTCCTGGACAACTGTGAATGGTGCTGTTGTCTTAGCTCTCTGATGAGGACTGTCCCATTCCTGGATTGCTGTGAATAGTGGTATTGTCTTAGTGCCTCTGACTGACGAGGACTGTCTTGTTCCCAGGCCACTGTAAATGGTTGTGCTGTCTTAGCTCACCTTACAAGGATTGTCGTATTCCCAGGCTACCATGAACGGTGGTATTGTCTTAGCGCATGTGACTGAGGAGGATTGTCCCATCCCTGGGCCACAGTGAATGGCAGTATTGTCTTAGCATAGCTGGCTGATGAGGACCATCCCCTTCCTGGCCACGGTGAATGGTGATAGTCTCTTAGCACGTCTGACTGACAAGGGCTGTCTTGTTCCTGGGCCACTGTGAAAGGTGCTGTTGTCTTAGCTCATTTGACAAGGTCTGTCCCTTTCCTAGGCCTCCGTGACTGGTGCTATTGTCTTAGCACCTCTGACTGACAAGGACCATCTTGTTCCAGGCCACTGTGAATGGCAGTATTTCTTGAGCACGTGGCTGACAAGGACTGTCCTGTTCCTGGGTTGCCATGAATGGTGGTATTGTCATAGCGTAGATATATTTATAGATGAGGTCATTCTGCCATGAAATAAATTTAAAAAATAAAAGGTGTGTGTGGCAATGTGAAAGTCTGAAGAGCCCATTTCCAAGCAGTCAAGGGAGGAAACATGGAGGTGCTTGGAGCTTTGGGGTCAAGACCTGCATCACGTTGGATCTGGTAGTTCACTTCCCAGGGTGGCCCCTGCCTGCCCACTGGGCCCAGCTCCTCTCCTCACCTGGTGGAGCCTGAGGGAGGACTGTGCATGAAGGAGTGAATGCTTAAAGGACCATATGCTCAGACTGCTGACCACAGTCCTACAGAAAAGAGAACCCTGTGCCTGCAGAAAGGTGGTTTTAAATTCAGAGCACGCACAGCACAAGGAAGGAAGGAGCCCTCAACATCAGGGTTGGCTAACACTTGGCATCTATGTGTGAGAGAAGGTGGGCAGCCATTCCAGTGGGATGTGTTGAAAGAACTTTTATGCAGGAGCAGCAAAGCATGTGCCGAGGAAAGCAGAAGATGGTCAAAGGCTTCCTGACAAACATGAATGGTGGCAAGCAGCTGTGCCCACACAACAGCGCTGCAACCACCCACGGCTTTCAAACAGGTTTTTGGATAAAAATTTGTAAAAGACAAAAGTGATCAGCTAAGCAGAAATTAAGGGAATTTGTTAAAACCAGACCAACCTCACAAGACATACTAAAGGGAGTCCTTCAAACAGAGAACCAAGAACAGCAAATAACAACTGACCATTATCACACATGATGACATAACACAAATACCAACCCAGTTATAGAAGTATCCAAAGTTAATAAGCCCACAAGATTGTAAACATGGAACCAGAGACGTCAATTGACAAATGAGGACAAGTACAAACCAAAAAAAGGGGAAAAAACTGTGTAGTTAAAGAACTTCTAGATGGTAGAGAAGTCAAGACAACTGCAACCTAGAATGAACTATTCTAAATTTGGGAAGAAAATTGTACATCACTGGGTAACTTCAAAGAAGAATGATAAACCTTCAAATCACAATACAAAAGAGGACCAGCACAAATATTTAGCAAATACTAAAACAATAGCATAAAGGAAGTGGTAACATGATTCATAAACAAAATCAGCTCAGCACAGAATATTATATGGAACAAAGAAATCAACACCATGAAAAAGCACATAAAATGACAGCAACAAATTCATACTTGTTAATAATTACACTCAATGTCAATGGATTAAATGTACCATTCAAGAGACGAAGAGTTGCAGACTGGATAAGAAAGCATAACCCATCAATATGCTGTCTATAAGAGACACACCTTAGAGATAAAGACAAAAATAGACTAAAAATCAAAGGTTGGAAAAAGATATATCAAGCAAATGGTAACTATAAGAGCAGGAGTGGTGATATTAATTTCTGATCAAATTGACTTTAAAACAAAAACCACCATAAGAGACAAGGAAAGACATTATATAATGATTAAACAATCAAACAAGAGGACATAATAATAACAAATACCTATGGGCCCAATAAAAGAGCCCTAAAATACATAAATCAAACTTTAAAAGAGTTGAAAAGACAAACAGATGAGTCCACAGTCATAGTGGGAGACTTTAATACACCACTTTCAATGAAAGATAGAACTGGAAAGAAACTAAAAAAAGACACAAAAGAACTAAACAATACAATCCACCTACTTGACCTTATGGACATCTACAGAGCACTTCACCTAACAATAGCACAATATACATTCTTTTCCAGTGCACGTGGAACATTTGCTAGGAGAGACCACATGTTAAGCCACAAAGCAAGCCTCAATAAATTTAAAAACACTGAAATACTGCAAAGTATCTTCTCAGATCTCAATGCTGTAAAATCAGAAATCAGCAATAGGAAGATGAAAGGAAGAGAGCAAATACATGGAAACTGAACACCCTCCTCAAAAACAACTGGGTAACAGAAGAAATAAAAAGTCAAATTAAAAAAAAAAAATCCTTGAATCAAACGAGAATGAAAACACAAAATACCCAAATCTTTGGGACACACAGCAAGAGTAGTGATCAGAGGCTAATTTATAGCAATAGATGCCACATCAAAAAAGAAGAAAGAGCCAAAATCAACACCTTAACCCAACATCTCCAACAATTAGAAAAAAAGAGCAGACAAAAAAAAAAAAGCCTAGTCACCAGAAGAAAGGAAATAATATTTGAACAGAAATCAATGAAACAGAAAATAGAAAGACAGTAGATAAAACCAGCAAGACTAGAAGTTGTTTCTTTGAAAAGATTAATAAAACTGACAAGCCACTAGCAAATTTAACAAAGGAAAAGAGGGAGAGAACACACATAACACAAGTAAAAAATGAATTGGGTGACACCACAACAGAAGCAACAGAAATTAAAAGGCTAATATCAGGATACTATGAAGAACTGTACTCCAACAAATTTGAAAATCCAGAAGAAATGGACAGATTTTTAGAAACACACCACTTACCTAAACTAACACAGACTGAGGTGGAAAAGTTGAACAGACCCACAACAAAAGAAGAAATTGAACAGGTCATAAAAAATTACCACCAACAACAAAAAAAGCCCTGGCCCAGACAGTTTCACCAGAGAATTCTACTGAATGTTCAGAGAAGAACTGACACCAATTCTACTCAAACTATTCCAGAACACAGAAAAGGATAAAATCCTCCCAAATTCATTTTATGAAGCAAGCATAACCTTGATACCAAACCCAGGCAAAGACATTACTCAAAAGGAAAACTACAGACAAATATCCCTCATGAATATAGATGCAAAAATCTTCAACAAAATTCTAACCAATAGACTCCAACAGCGTATCCAAAAAATAATACATTATGATCAAGTGGGGTTCATACCAGGTTTGCAAGGATGGTTCAACATTAGAAAAACAATCAACATCATCTACCACATAAATAAAACAAAGGAAAAGAACCACATAATCATATCAATTGATGCAGAAAAGGCATTTGATAAAATCCAGCACCCTTTCCTGATAAAAATTTCCAGCAAAATCAGAATAGAAGGGACATTCCTCAACATAATAAATGGCATATATTCAAAACCAACAGCCAACACATTCTCAATGGAGAGAGACTGAAACCATTCCCCTTGTGAATAGAAACCAGACAAGGATGCCCTCTATCACCACTTGTATTCAACATTGGATTGGAAGTCCTAGCCAGGGCAATAAGGCAAGAAAGAGAAATCAAAGGCATCCAAATTGGCAAGAAAGAAGTCAAGCTATCCCTATTTTCTGATGATATGATCCTATACCTAGAAAACCCAAGAGACTCAGCAAAAAAACTACTGGAACTAATTGAGAGATTTAGCATTGTGGCAGGATACAAGATCAACATCCAAAATCAGTTGGATTCTTCTACACCAGCAAAGAGATTGCTGAAAAGGACGTAAGGAAACCGATACCATTTACAATAGCTACCCAAAAAATAAAATGTTGTTGTTGTTGTTGTTGTTAGGTGCCATCGAGTCATCTCCAATTCATAATGACCCTATGCACAGCAGAACAAAACATCGCGTAGTCTTGCACCAGCTCCACGATCCTTGCTATATATTTGAGCCCATCGCCGCAGCCACTGTGTAATTCCATCTCATTGAGGGCCTTCCCCTCTTTTGTCGGCCCTCCACCTTACCAAGCATGACATCCTTCTCCAGGGAACGGTCCCTTCTGATAACATGACCAAAGTAGGTGAGGCGAAGCCTGGCCATCCTCGCTTCCAAGGAGCATTCCATCTGAATTTCCTCCAGGACAGATTTGTTAGATCTTTTAGCAGTCCATGGTACTTCCAACATTCTTCACCAGCACCACAACTCAAAAGCATCAATTCTTGACTCGAATACTTGGGAATAAATCTCACTAGGGACACTAAAGATCTGTACAAAGAAAACTAGAAATCACTACTTCAAGAAACTGTAAGACATCTACATAAATGGAAGAACATACCATGCTTGTGGACAGGAATATTGAACATTGTGAAAATGTCAATTCTACCCAAAGCAATATAAACATTCAATGCAATCCCAATCTGGATCCCATCGGCATTCTTTAAGGATATGGAAAACGCAATCACTAATTTTATATGGAAAGGAAAGAGACCTCAAATAACCAAAGCACTCTTGAAGAAAAACAACAAAGTAGGAGGTCTCATGCTCCTGGATCCCAAAACCTAGTGTGGAGACA